TGAGCCCAGTGCTCTCCAGCCTGGCTGATACAGTGAGACCCTGTCACCAAAGAAAATCGAGTCCAGCCGGGTGCAGTGGCTCACAACTGTAATTCTAGCACTTTGGGAGGCCAAGACAGGCAGATCACCTGAGGTCAGAATTTCAAGACCAGCCTGGGCCGGGCACGGTGGCTCAAGCCTGTAATCCCAGCACTTTGGGAGGCTGAGGTGGGTGGATCACGAGGTCAAGAGATCGAGACCATCCTGGTCAATATGGTGAAACCCTGTCTCTACTAAAGATACAAAAAATTAGCTGGGCATGGTGGCGCGTGCCTGTAATCCCAGCTACTCAGGAGGCTGAGGCAGGAGAATTGCCTGAACCCAGGAGGCGGAGGTTGCAGTGAGCAGAGATCCCGCCATTGCACTCCAGCCTGGGTAACAAGAGCGAAACTCCGTCTCAAAAAAAAAAAAAAAAAAAAAAAACCAGCCTGGCCAACATGGTGAAACCCCATCTCTACTAAAAAAAAATAAAATAAAATAAAATACAAAAATTAGCTGGGCATGGTGAGTCCTGCCTGGAATGCCAGGTACTTGGGAGGCCAAGGCAGGAGCATCACTTGAACCTGAACCTGGGAGGCAGATGTTGCAGTGAGCCAAGACTGTGCCACTGCACTTCAGCGTGGGCAAAAAGAACAAAACATCATGTCAAAAAGAAAGGAAAGAAAAGAAAGAAAGGAAGGAAGGAAGGAAGGAAGGAAAGAAAGAGAAAGGAAAGAAAGAAAATGAAAGAAAGAAAGAAAATAAAATGGGAGTCTAATGTGAGCAACACAGTGGTGGATGTGGGATCTACAGGACACCAAGCCGCCTCACTGTGACTCCTTGACAGCTACGGCAGCACCCCAGATCCCGGGCGAGGAAACAACGTTCCGTGGCCGCCCCAGCTGGCAGGGCACCAGCAGCCCACCAAGTGCCCAGCCCAGAACCTCCACTGGACCCATCACCCCCGCTGTTCTGCCCAGCCCCCAAGATTCCACCAACTCTCAGAACTATCCCTCCCTCTGCCCAGGGTGAGGGACAAAAAGAGCCCTTGAGGGCACCCAGGCCTCACATGGCTGTCGCAGGAACCCGGGCAGATGCTGGAACCCCATAAACGGAACCTGGGATGTAAAGGTCTACAAAGTCCAGGACTGACTCTCAACTCGAAAAAATCCTGTTTTGCATGGGTCCAAGCATCTGCCAATCACTGCCCCACCCAAGCACACCTCCCGCCTCCCGGCTGGACACCTTGGGGGCAGTGGGGATAGGAGAGCCACAGACCCCATCTGGTCCGTTTCCTGTGGCAGCCGGCACACCCCGATTTTCACATTTCCAACAGGTAGAAAGAAACAACATGAAAGCACGGTGTTTTGTAACACGTGGAAGTGACAGCAAAGGGAAGGGCGGTGGGACTCAGCCCCGTATTTTAATAAAGTTTACAGGCTGGGTCCAGTGGCTTATGCCTGTAATCCCAGCACTTTGGGAAGCCGAGGACAGGCAGATAACTTGAGGTCAGGAGTTGGAAACCAGTCAGGCCAGCAGAGTGAAACCCCGTCTCTACAAAAATACAAAAATTAGCTGGGCACCGTGGTGTGCGCATGTAATCCCAGCTACTCAGGAGGCTGAGACGGGAGAATCGCTGGACCCGGGAGACGGAGGCTGCAGTGAGCAGAGATCTCGCCACTGCACTCCAGCCTGAGCGACAGAGACTCTGCTCCAAAAAAAAAAAAAAAAAAAAAAAAAGGCTTTACATTTCATTAAAAACTGCCTGGATAGGTTAGGAAAAAACAAAAACTCAAAGGAAATACAGCAAGATGCCACAGTGTTAACATTAAGAGTAATTTTTTCTTTTTTTTGAGACGGAGTTTCAGAGTTTCATTCTTGTTGCCCCGGCTGGAGTACAGTGGCACCATCTCAGCTCACCACAACCTCAGCCTCCTGAATTCAAGTGATTCTCCTGCCTCAGCCTCCTGTGTAGCTGGGATTACAAGGATCTGCCACCACGCCCGGCTAATTTTTGTATTTTTAGTAGAGACGGGGTTTCTCCATGTTGGTCAGGCTGGTCTCGAACTCCTGACCTCAGGTGACCTGCCCTCTTCAGCCTCCCAAAGTACTGGAATTACAGGGATGAGCCACCGTGCCCAGACCTTTTTAAGTTCCTGATGCTTTCTGTAACTTTCCTAGTTCTAACAAGCTTGTACTTTTTACTGGTGAGAGCAGGACAAGGCACGGACTCCAGGGCCGCCTTCCTGAGAAGGAAAGGAAGGGAAGGGACGCATGCCGGCTCCATCTGCCCCAACCCAACCCCCTTGGCGGTCGCCCACGCTTTCCACACCAACTGGAGGACCGGACGCCTGAAGCTTGTCTGGAAGGTTCCAGACACTCACTGTGAGACACAATCTGAGCGGAGTTTATTAAGCTTCCCACACACAAAGGAGGCTTTTTCCTTGCAGTGCTGGCAGTGAGGCTGGCCAAGGCCTCAAGCCTCAGGGCTGGACAGTAGACACTCCTTCTCCTTGCGAGCACTTTGCACGTGGCGGGCCTCAAGTCAGAACACAGCAGCTCCCAGAGTAGGGCCTCCCCCGGCAGCGCCCAAGGAGCTGGAGGAAGTGCAGTGGTTCCTACATCACAGCTGCACACCGCGCTGCTCCTGATGGCTGACAGATCCCGCGGACCGTGAACAGGATGGGACAGGGCCACCCCTCATCCCAGGGGGACCCGAAAGGGCAAAATCGTTGCACACACAGGGCCAGGATGAAAGTGGATGCTGAACACCAGTGAGGGTGCACCACACCCTCCAAGGCCAGCAGGGTCATGAGTCATGGGTGGCTTCCACCCACAGTCCTGTCCAGGTCCTGCCCACCCCTCTGCCTGCTGCCTCAGTGTCCCCTCCTGTTCTCCCATGCACTGGGCAAGACTGAATTCCTGTAACCCTTTGGCCTGCCTTCACCAAGACCCTCAAGCTCTGCCCTGCGATTCAGGTGCTCACCTGAGCTCTTGGGAGCTCCTCCACCAACGGCTGAACCCAGGGGGCTCACACACTCAGTCAGACTTCCTCCCTGCCCAGCGTCTGTCTCCCACTGTCCTTGCATATACATTTGTCAAAACTCAAACCAGTTTTTTTTTTTTTAGACAGAGTCTGGCTCTGTCTCCCAGGCTGAAGTGCAATGGTACACTGCAATCTCTGCCTCCGAGGTTCCAGTGATTCTTCTGCCTTGGCCTCCTGAGTAGCACACGTGCCACCATGCTCAGCTAAGTTTTGTATTTTTAGTAGAAACGGGGTTTCACCACATTGGCCACGCTGGTCTTGAACTCCTGACCTCAGGCGATCAGCCAGCCTCAGCCTCCCAAAGTGCTGGGATTACAGGTGTGAGGCACCACGCCCAGTCCCTAAGCATGGGTTTCTGACTGCTGGGAGACAGGCTGTCACTGGTCCTTTCCGAGGGCCGACACTACCCCGGCACAGGGCTCCATCCTGACCAACCCATCTCATGGGAACCAGGCACAGGGAACCAGCCTTCTAGTGTCCACACTCAGCAGTGAAACCTCGGAGAGGCCCCCTGGAAACACACCCCTTCCCAGCCGCTCCCATTTAACCCTGACTGCTCCAGCACGCACTTCACAGCCTGTGTCCCTGCTTTCCGAATCTCACAGCCAGCATGCTGGTTAAGAAGTGTGTAGGCCAGGAGCAGTGGCTCACACCTATAAACCCAACACTTTGGGAGGCCGAGACAGGCAGATCACCTGAGGTCGTGGGTTCAAGACCAGCCTGGCCAACACGGGGAAACCCCATCTCTACTAGAAATACAAAATTAGACGGGCATGGTGGGTCATCTCAACTACTTGGGAGGCTGAGGGAGGAGAATTGCTTGAACCCAGGAGGCGGAGGTTGCAGTGAGCCAAGATCACGCCATTGCACTCCAGCCTGGGCAACAAGAGCGAGACTCCAACTCAAAGAAAAAAAAAAAAAAAGTGTGTGAGCCCCCCAGCCCCTGAGCAGGAGGAAGGTGAGAGCGGACAGGGCAGGAGCCCCTCCCCGGACCTCCTTCCAAGGTCACAGTGCCCTGAGCAGGGTGTCCCTGCCAGTCCCTCTCGGTCTAGCCCGGTAGACAAGGTGCTTTCTTGGAAACAGGAGGCAAAGTTTTGAAAGTTAAAGAGGGCTGGGAGAGGAGCAGGGCCTGGGCAGGGCCCGCCAGGCAGAGGCAGGTGCAGCGTGTCTGGTGGCGATAAGGAAGGGACACCCCCCCTCCACCAGCTGGAAGAGGCTCAGGCCAGGCTGCGCTGCCCTCAGGAGGAGCTTCTCTGCGCAGATGCAGAGGCGTCCGGGATGCCCAGCGGCAGCCAGCGCCCAAAGAAGTCAGTCTGAAAAGTAAGGTCGTCCGAACGAACACAAGTCGGGAGCCAGGGATGCTTCCAGCTCCACATCCCAGGCAAATGAGCAAAGGCTACGTTTCCCTCCTGCTGACTGATAAGCCGGTGCAAACAATTATTTTTGGCAAGCCCATGGTTCCCTCCGACAGGATAAACAAATCACATTGCGCCTGGCCCCGGTAACGGCCACACACTGCGCAGAAAACCTGCTGACGGCCCACACAAACTCTCGGAGCCCAGATAAACACAGGCTGGTTCCACTAGGCACCTCTGCTCCACGGACAGCTGAGGGAGCCAAGGGGCCAGACTTAGGGGGCCGGGGTGGGGGCCGCTCCCTTCCCAGGAGGGTTTTGCTTCCAGGGCATTTTAACTGGCGTCCAAGCGCCCAAGCAAACGCCCGCCCCGCTGCGACAACTGTCCCTGCCTGAGTGAGAGTCCCTCAGGCAGACTTCCCACCAGCTCTCCCTGGCACGGAGGACACAGGCGCTGGCCGGGTCCCGCTCAGGGTGTTAACAGGAAGGAAGGGAGAGAGGGAGAAGAGAAGGAAGGAAGACGGAACCAACCGCACAGTGACTGGCCCGGCCCCCGCCCCGGCCCCAGGAAGCCGCACTTACTTTTTGACGTTAGCCTCCCCGTTGGGGATCCTTCGCAACTTCTTCTTCTTGAGGATCTTGACGGCCCTCCGACACAGCGTCTCCGAGTCCAGCACCTCCTTCACCTTGCCGTAGGAGCCTTCCCCAAGCAGGTCCCCCATCAGGTACTTGCCGATGAGCTTGGCCCGCTTGCGGCGCGGCTGGTAGATGACCTCGGTGGAGTCGATGCGGTGGATGAACGTGTCCATGCCCACCGACATCAGCTCACCCTCCGTGAACATGCCCAGCTGCGGCGGGTCCACCACCTCCATGCTGGACCCAGCGTCCTGGAGTCCCGCCGCCAACCCTGAGTCCGCGGGTGAGCGGTCCTTCCTGGTGTCCCGACTTCCCTTCTCCAAAATTTCAAAAAGAAAAAAGAAAAAAAAAGGCAACGAAAATCCCAAAAGGAAGGGGAAAAAAACCCTTCTTCCAACAGAAACGATTGTCCTACACGTCAGTCCGGGCTGCGAGTCCGAGCCCGCTGCGGGGTCTGCGGCACCGGCGGGCGCCGGGGGTCCGGGACGGCGGCTCAGACGCGACTTCCAGTGGGACCCGGGCCTCGGCACGGGGCGGGGACGGCCCGGTCGGGGTCAGCTTCGTCCGCGGGCACCCTGGGGAGGCCGGCCGGGGGTTCTCAGTGCTAGGTCATCCTCCGGGGACCTCAGGCCCGCGGACAAGCAGGAACACGGCCGAGCGCGCTCTTCTCCGGGCCGCCCATCCCACGGGCAGGCTCCGCGACGCCGCCGCCCCCCGGGACCCCCACACCCGGGGAGCGCAACTTCGCTGGGGGCGTCTCCGGCGACGCCCCGGTCTCGCCGCTCGTCCCAAGCGCAAACGCTTCACCGCGGACGCCCGAGCGGACCTCCCGGGGACTGCCGACTGCCGCCGGCCCGGGCGAGGGCTCGGGGGGCTGGGGCGTCCGGCGGCCTCTCGCGGCAGCCAACAGCTCCGCTCAGGGCCGGTCACCGCCCGGCGCCCGCGAGGGCTCGCACTGGACGCCCCCCGAGCCGGCGCGCGACCCCCGCGGGGGTCTCCGGGGCCCGGCAGGCACCCCCTCCCCGCGAACGTCGGCCCGAGCACGCGCCCCGCCCTGAGCGTCCTCAGCGTCCGGTCCGCCGGGCGGCGCGGCGGCGGGGGCTCCACGGGGCTCCGGGCGGCCGAGGCGGCGCAGGCCGCAGGCTCCGGGCCGGGGGGTTCCCGAGGGTGCCGGGCCCCGGGCGGCGCGTCCCCCTCGCCGCGGCCGCCGCGCGTGTGGAGGAGGCGGAGCGGCGAGGGGGGCCCAGCGCATCCAAGGCCGCGGCAGCAAGTGCCAGCGCCCGCACTCCCTTCACCACCCCGCGCCTCACTCGCGGGCGCCCCGGACCACCTCCCCCTTCCGCGCCCGACACGCCGCCGCCATCTTGTTTACCTCCCTCCCCCTCCCTGCGCCGCCGCAGACGCCGCACGCCTCCCCGCAGGACACGCCCCTCGCGCCGCCGACGTGCCCACCCATTGGCTGAACCCGCAACCTCCGTCCCTCTGCCCGCCCCTCCGCGGCTGAGGATTGGAGCGTTTGGACCCGGCCGGGCGCCCGAGAGGGGATTGGTCTGCGCTTGGCCCCGCCCGAGGGGTGGATACGGCCGGCTGATTGGCTCTTGGAGGCGCCCGTCACAGGCAGGGGGCGGGAAGCAGGCAAGGGGAGGCGAGGCCGCGGCTCTGACCTCGGAGGGGTTGGGGACGGGGTCGTAGGTCGCGGACGCCAAAGGCCTCGCTGAACGGCTGCGGGGTGAACTCAGCCCAGTGGGTGGGGACCTGGGCTCCCGGACCGAGGGGGAGTGGGGGTCGCGCCTGCCAGAGTTCCTCCCCGGATCCCCCTTTGGGGCGAGGTCAAGGGTCGAAAAGTAACCCAGCGTGGTCACTTCCCGGCAAAAATCATTGATTTCAGCCTCTCTTGGCCCAGAGGAGGGAGGAACGCGCGGGGCGGCCTCTGCCCTGGAGGAACTCCCGGGGGACGCCTCGGGACAGCGCGGGGACCGGCCCAGCAGGGGCTTTTGGTGAAAAACAAGAGTCGCCAAAATACGGCTTCATAAGGTTGAAAATACTGAAACCGGCCGGGCGCGGTGGCTCACGCCTGTGATCCCAGCACTTTGGGAGACCGAGGTGGGTGGATCACTTAAGGTCAGGAGTTCAAGACCAGCCTGGCCAATATGGTGAAACCCCATCTCTATTTAAAAAGAAAAAAAAAAGGCCGGGCGCGGTGGCTCACGCCTGTGATCCCAGCACTTTGGGAGGCCGAGGCGGGTGGATCACGAGGTCGAGAGATCGAGACCATCCTGGTCAACATGGTGAAACCCCGTCTCTACTAAAAATACAAAAAATTAGCTGGGCATGGTGGCACGTGCCTGTAATCCCAGCTACTCAGGAGGCTGAGGCAGGAGAATTGCCTGAACCCAGGAGGCGGAGGTTGCGGTGAGCCGAGATCACGCCATTGCACTCCAGCCTGGGTAACAAGAGCGAAAACTCCGTCTCAAAAAAAAAAGAAAGAAAGAAAAAGAAAACTCGCCAGTCTCAGTGGCTCAGGCCTGTAATCCCAGCACTTTGGGAGGCCAAGGCTGGCAGAGCACTGGAGGTCAGGAGTTCAAGACCAGCCTGACCAACATGGAGAAACCCTGTCTCTACTAAAAATACAAAATTAGCCAGGCGTGGTGGTACATGCCTGTAATACCAGCTACTTAGGAGGCTGAGGTAGGAGAATCTCTTGAAGCCTAGGGAGGCGGAGGTTTTGGTGAGCTGAGATCACACCATTGCACTCCAGCCTGGGCGACACCAGCAGAACTCCATCTCAAAAAAGAAAAGAAAAGAAAACTGTAGGCACATTGATGAAGGAAAGATTACCAGTACCAGGAATGAAAGAAGAATACCACTATAGACCCTGCAGATATTTAAAGTGTTAAATATTAGAAACATCTCTATGCTCCTGAATTCAACACCTTAGTTGAACTGATGTCTTTTTTTTTTTTTTTTGTGGAGACAGCATCTTGCTCTGTTGCCCAGGCTGGAGTGCAGTGGCATGATCACTGCTCCCTGCAAACCTCTCCCTCTCTAGCTCCAGCTGTCTTTCCACTTCAGCTTCCCAAGTAGCTGAGACTACAGGCACGCACCACCACGTCCCGCTAACGTTTGTATTTTTTGCAGAGATGAGGTTTCAACATGTTTCCCAGGCTGGTCTCAAACTCTTGGCTTCAAACTGTCCTTCCACCTCAGCCTCCCAGCTAGCTGAGACCACAAGCATGTGTCACCACACCTGGCTTATTTGTGTGTGTGTGTTTTTTTTTTTTTTTTTTTTTTTTTTTTGTAGAGACAGAGTTTTGCTGTGTTGCTTAGGCTGGTCTCAAACTCTTGACCTCAAGCAATCCTTCCTCATTGGCCTCCCAAAGTCCTGGGATTACAGGCATGAGGCACCGTTCCTGGCCCCAATGTATTGCAAGACACAAAAATGAAAGCCCCGTTAAAAATAAATCAGTGATGCTGGGCGCGGTGGCTCACGCCTGTAATCCTAGCACTTTGGGAGGCCGAGGTGGGTGGATCAACTGAGGTCAGGAGTTCAAGACCAGCCTGGCCATTATGGTGAAACCCCATCTTGGAAAAAAAAGAAAAAGAAAAACGAAAAAGAAAAGAAAACTAGCTAGGCATGATGGCGTGTGCTTGCAGTCCCAGCTACTTGGGATCCATCACTGGAGCCTGGGAGCTGGAGGTTGCAGTGAGCCATGATCATGCCACTGTATGCCTGGGCAACAGAGCCAGCCCTGTTTCAAAATAAAAATAAAAATTTATTTTAAAAGAACTATTCTGGCCGGGCGCGGTGGCTCAAGCCTGTAATCCCAGCACTTTGGGAGGCCGAGGCGGGTGGATCATGAGGTCAAGAGATCGAGACCATCCTGGTCAACATGGTGAAACCCCGTCTCTACTAAAAATACAAAAAAATTAGCTGGGCATAGTGGCACGTGCTTGTAATCCCAGCTACTCAGGAGGCTGAGGCAGGAGAATTGCCTGAACCCAGGAGGCGGAGGTTGCGGTGAGCCGAGATCGCGCCATTGCACTCCAGCCTGGGTAACAAGAGCGAAACTCCGTCTCAAAAAAAAAAAAAAAAAGAACGATTCTAACATCCCACCCTCCCTCACAGGTGAGCCCACTGAGGCTGGCGGAGAGCAAGCCCCCTGCCCAGGTCTACACTCCAGGGCCCTGGTGGTGCTGGGGCTCCCACCTAGAGTGCCCTGGAGTGCCAGGAGTCTCATTTAGGATGCCAGCTCCAGCTGCTCAGGGTGATGGGGCTTTGGGCATCGGAGCAGGCATCCAACCCAGGCCAGGCTGGGCCAGCATGGAACCAGAGTATACAGTCCTTCCTGGCACCGTGAGGCCTGAGGATCCCGGGGGCTGCTCTGAGAGCCCTCTACAGGGCCCTTTCCCTGGCCCGGCCCTTTGTCCCGCAGAAATCTTCAACAGGGAGGTCCCGGCCTTTCACTCTTTCACTTCCTGTTTCTCTGGATGGAGGATTAACAGTAGCCCTGTCATCAAAGATAAGACTGGGCTGGGAATGAGATGGACTATTTTATGAATCCCTACTGAATTCATAAATATATATTTTTTCTTTTTTGGGGACAGAGTCTCGCTCTGTCGCCAAGGTGGCATGCAGTGGCACAGCCTTGGTTCTCTGCAACCTCCACCTCCTGGGTTCAAGTGATTCTCCTGCCTCAGCGTCCAGAGTAGCTGGGATTACAGGCACCCGCCACCATCCCCAGCTAATTTTTGTGTTTTTAGTAAAGATGGGGTTTCACCATGTTGCCCAAGATGGTCTCGAACTCGTGACATCTGCCTGCCTGGGCCTCCCAAAGAGGTGGGATGACAGGCGTGAGCCACCGAGCCTGGCCTTGAATTTGTAAATTTGATGACACTCTGGATATAAAGAGGCGGTGTGACCTCTGGGTTGGTAAACAGTGAAAATGGCGATGCTATGGACACAGGAGTAAGTGATGTGGATGACTGCTTCTGGTAATCCTGGGGAAAATGCTTTCTCTGCACTCTCTCATCCTCATGAAACTACAGGTCCCGTTAAGGGAACTGGATTACGGATGGGGGTCCCAAGTCATCACAGAGAGCCCCCGGGTTACAGGTGTGGGCTTACATTACAGCTGAGTGCCTCAGTTTTAGGTTGGGGAGACCCAGGTTCCAGTGGGGTCTTGGGTCACAGGTCGGGGACTAGGATTCAGGTGAAGGTCGGGGTTACAGGTGAGTGCCGCTGGTTCCAGGTACAGGAGCCCAGGTTCTAGATGAGGGCCTGAGTTATGGATGGGAGAGACCCAGGTCCTAGTTGGGGGGGCCCCTGGTTACAAGTGGAGGGGCCCAGGTTCCAGGCAGGGGACTGGGGTCTAGGTGGGGGAGTAGGTTTTCAGGTGAAGGCTGGGGTTCCAAGTGGGGGCACGGGACCCAGGTGGGGGCTGGGTTTCAGGTTCGGAGGTCCCGGGTTACAGGTGGCGGCCTCTGCCAGCCCTGCCGAGGGCTCAGGCGTCCCCTCCATCTCTTCCTCCAGGCTGTCACCTGTCAGCTCTCCTGGCCACCCATGACTTCCCCAAACACGGAGATCCTCCCCTCCAGCCTTCGGGACAGGCCTCTCCTACCGTCTCCACTCCTAGACCCCCCGCTGCACCCACGTTTCCCCAGACGCCCAGAACCCCCTTCACCGCCACGAGTCCTCCCTCGTGGCCTCTCACTCTCTGGCGGGGGACCCCAGTGTCCCAGACCTCCTCCACTGGCCGTCTGAAAATCGGGGCCTTGATCCCAACTGCCCCGCTTCGCAGACCTAGCCCAGCCCCCCACGCAACGGAGTGGGGTCAAGCCTCGCACCCACTGGCCCTGCAGCAGCCGGAGGGGTCTTTCCTACGCCCCTGCCGGGAATCCCGCCGCGGGTAGAAAAGGAGCCGGCTGTCTGTGCCGACCGCTGCGGCCGCCAGGGGACGCGCGCGGGCTGCGGCGGAGACGCCGGCGAACAGGGTGAGTGCGCGTGCGCGAGGCTGAGCCCAGACCCCGCCCCGGCGGTGAGGACCTCCGGGTTCTGGGGCGCCCTCCTGGAGCGCAGGGCAGGAGGCAGGAGGAGGGGACCAATAGTCCTGTCCTCGCCGTGGTGGGCGGACGCGGTGGCTCACGCCTGTCATCCCAGCACTTTGGGAAGCTGAGGTGGGTGGATTACCTGAGGTCAGGAGTTCAAGACCAGCCTGGCCATCATGGAGAAACCCCATCTTTAAAAAAAAAAAAAAAAGTAAAAAGTAAAAAATAATGAAATAAAGGCAGTGCATGGGGGCTCATGCCTGTAATCCCAGCACTTTGGGAGGCCGAGGCGGGTGGATCACGAGGTCGAGAGATCGAGACCATCCTGGTCAACATGGTGAAACCC